AAAGTGATAAATTCCATGAAGTCCGGTAAAGGTTGGTTTTCGCATTTGATGCTGTAGGCAGGAAATTATCAGACTTAATTATAACCTTTCGCCTTGTCGCTTTTAACTTGTCGTTTATTGTAAATCTCGGTTTTCTTGAGTGTAAAGTCCTGCACACAGTGTATCTTAAACTCCATGTGTTACCTAAGATTATGTTCTTACATTATTTGATGACTGGTTCCAATATGTTCCGATAAGCATTTCATTTCATTTCATGTATTTATTTTACCAGCAAAATACACTCAAGTTACATTTTAAAACCTGTTTTTCAGGTAGTGCTGGGCGTACGAATACAAATACTGACAAACGTTATACATTACAAGAAAAAGACATAATCCAAAATGACATATAACAAAGGAACTCACTCATTTTCCACTATACCGTATACATTCATACCATCACAATTCCTGACTGAATTGTACCAGCCCCACTGTCTGACGTTGCTTAAGTGACAAGTTATTCCACAGTTGGGAGCCGTAGAATCTTAAGCTCCCCTTGTAGCTTTTCAAACTTGCTACAGGGCAGTTCAACAGATAAGGGTCCCAGTTTGACAGCCGTGCGAGTGCGAGCTCTTATGATCGGTGGAGACTTCCACCTGAACATGTCAGCAAAGCAATTATAGTTTGCAAGGTGTTAAAAGTTCAGTTTGCTTTTTGAGCTTGAAAAGCAGATTTTCAATCTCCTTAGTCTGCTACAGGAAAAGCAATTATAGTTTCTAAATGCTATATAATACTGTTACAGTATCGCTTGTTGTTTTTGACCAAACGCCCACTACTTACATAGAACACACATTCCTGCACTATCCTATCACATAAAATCGGTTGACACCCAGGTTACTGAAAGTCACTATCAAACTAACTTAAAGTTAGTCGCACGCAAAGGGGCGCCCTCCAGCGGCCGTTTTACTAAGTGTAGAAGTAAAGCCAGGGAAACGTCGCAGTAAATACTTCACACTTTTTCTGTGTTTTTGTTACGTTTTCTTGCAATACGTTCACTTACAATGATAACGAGAATATAGAGGACAATGTTAAGTGCAACTCACCACCAAAAACGGACGTAGCGCGTCTTCCAAGGCGAATTTTACCCACCGAGTTCTTCCTCTTCAAAACACACTCGCCATCTTGGAACGGCGTGGTCCTACCACCTGATAATGAATAACCAGCAGGATTTGAATTTTTCTAATCATCAATTAAGTAGAAAAACTAGATTAATTGTAACGTAAAAGAAAAATTAAAATCACCATACCGTAACGCAAAGTTTTGTTATAATTTGCTCTACAAATAAAGTTCTTTTACTTATCATTTAACCTCAAGAAGATACTTCATTCATGTCAAAATTTAGATCGACATAAAATCAAAGACAAGTATGTGAAACGGCCTGCCGTCTGGTTCTAATTTTACATTGGTTTTAATAGGTGCACAACCTGTACATACAACTGGTGTTAGCAGGAAGACACAAAACTTGAGTCAAAAATAAAATCATAGAACTGCAATTTTTCTAATTATCCACAGTGCGATGTAGCCTCTTCCAGGCTTCACTTCAGAAGTGGCTGGAAAGAGTAGAAGTTGGCCAAATAGAGACTGATACCATGCCGCACCCGAAACCGTACTCTCTGGTAGACCAACTCTCTGGCATGTTATCTCTCAACTTGGCCAATTTCTACAACTTCCAGCCACCTCCCGAAGCCTGGTAGAGGCAGCCTCCTCCCGAAGCCTGGTAGAGGCAGCCTCCTCCCGAAGACTGGTAGAGGCAGCCTCCTCCCGAAGCCTGGTAGAGGCAGCCTCCTCCCGAAGCCTGGTAGAGGCAGCCTCCTCCCGAAGCCTGGTAGAGGCAGCCACCTCCCGAAGCCGGGTATACTATAGAGGCTATTCTGGTCGGAAGAAGAGCTGTATCCCCACCGTTGGAGAGGCGTAACTCCCACGGTATTATATTACTACATCCGTCGCATTAGAGAACCTAATATCTCTAATATAAGACAATAGAGTATATGCTTTCTCAGCCCACCCCACACGTAAACATTTGGAGATTTCCTGCATTCTCCTAAACAGATTTGAAATCTGTAAATCTAATCGCTGCACCCAGAACAAAGCGGATAAGGTTGCTTTCCGGAGAAACGCCCACTCAGTATAAAGCGCATGACATATTGTTTCCTGACAGCACATACACCTGTTTTTTAAGAGAGGAAAATCGAGTATATTGTCTTTAGGTATTTGCTTGCCGCACCCAAAACAAAGGATAATGTTGTTTTTTCCGGGGGAAAGCCCACTCAGTGAGTAAAACATTTTTGAGTGACTCAATGTCACTTAAGCTTAAGAGGGGTGCGGCAAATTGCCAGTGACGTCGCGGTTGTTGAAGTGTAGTTTATAGAACTAAAGAGTTGTTAGGAGACTTTTAGAGGCCAATAACAGAGAAACATTCTGTCCGACACTCAGACAGTCCTCAGCAACAAGGGACTAGTAAGTCACATTGTCAACAATGTATTAGTCACATAGTCAATATACAAAGTCTCAAGTGAAAAACTAAGTCATGTGTACCGTACACGCGACTACTTGTGCCTTTCCCACGTCGACAAATTCAAGTCTACACTCTACAATACTGGCGATGTTATATCCACATAGAACCATGCACAGGCACTGTCCTAGATGGTCCACGCATAGCCAGAACCGTGCCTGGGGCACATCTGTGTTTTTGAATACGCGGAGACTATTCAAAACCGTGCCTGAACTTAACATTAAGGTGCATGGAACTATAGGTACGGTTCCGGGTACAATAGGTAATGTTCAAGCTAAAAGGAGGCCTCGTCGAGTACGTTGTTATTACTAGCTCTTATTCCAAGTGGCCAAGTGGCTAGGCAAGCGGATACGAGATCAAGGGGTCACGGGTTCGTTCCTCGGTATTTCTGGCTAGACATTGTGCCCTTTCAAATGCACTTAACACGGATTATCACACAGCTATACCCGCAAAGGCGGCGAAAAGAGAGGGATGGGCTTTCTAATACCATGTCCTAGACATTACTATTATAATAGAACTAGCAATTCCTACAGCATTTAAAAGGCTACGGGACTACATCTACATTTACTTTTTATTTCAAACAGTGAGAGTTGCAGCATTCTGATAGAATCTTAGTGAGACGAACGGCGTTTAAAACCACAGGTGCGGCAGCCACACCCCCTCCCCTTACGGGATCACCTTGGTAGCGTCACGAAAGCCCATATTTGTCATGTCTGCATATATTAAGTTAACCTTGCCGTCTGACTCCCTGATTGGTCGAGCCGGTTGAGATACCGGTATGACAGGTTGTTTGGGTGTTTTAAGAGCCCAGCCCGCCGCCCCAGACACCACTCTCTCACTCCTCACGCCTTTCAGCTGAACAGCAGAGACAACACTGAACGCAAGGTGGGTGGTAACTCTGCGCACACTCTAGGCTTGAGCTAGTGTCCTTGACTAATAGTATGTGCACAACATTGTCCCCATATCTGCTATGTATGTAGAGGTACCTATGTGGAGTTGAACTCTACTGTTGTTAAGTGTGGCAAATGTCAGGTTCATGGTTAACGTATTGCTGAAATGGCTGTTTTTCTTCACACGACGGAGGTTCTGTTTTTGCTCTTTGGCTAGGTAACCCCTCCTACCACTTGTGATGTTTGCCTTTTTAGATAAGAAGGGTTTTTAACGGTGGATCCTAGATACAGAATAGTGTAGATACTTGCCGGTATAATGATTTGGATTCTTTCGACTGGCAATGTTAATGGTATGGATGAAAGTACACCGACCTGATATATTCTAGTTTCAAGCCCACATGGTGGACTAGTTTATTTATCCATGCCTCTCTGCACTCGAAGCAGTCTTTACTAGTTCAGCTAGATCAGCCTAGTCTGAACCGGTCTTGTCTCCCTTTTTCTTGGGTTAAACCTGGAGAAATTAAATTATTTTGCTCCAGTTGGCGAGGGCACTTGCCTCGGGGTTTACACAAAGTACTAAACGCCAGCGTGTCTGCGACATGTCACACTACAGGAGACAGACAATGGCGGCAAGGTGTTGTACCTTTAAACCGGCCACGCCTACAAAATGGGACAAATTAAGGGACTCCATTGTTTAGGCTACTTATGCCCCGTCAGAAACACAGTAATTGAGTGATAATTAGAACAGTTTTGTCTAAAAGTCGTCTATCTACAACTCAAAGTAGACCAAGTATTATTTGTGAATACTAAGACAGCTAAAATCACACCAAGGTCGGATATTAGAACACACCTGAAAACGCAGTGACACAGAACAAACAGTCTCTTGTTTGTCTATCCCCCCATGCCCCACTTAGAGTGCTCTGGTCAGAAAAAGGGCAGAGTGTATTGGCAGAGTGATATCAGTATTTACGACAAGACTTGTGTAAACAACTCACGAAGTGAAAGATTTGGAGTGCATGGTGGTGCCCATACATGGGGAGATTTACATGCAGTAGAGTAGTTTATCAAGTCACGGCTAGGCTTAGAAAGAATGGGGGTGGGGGGTTGACCCAAAGGGGGCGTGGTGTCCAAATAGACGAGGAGGACAGGGGAGGGGAGTTGGTCTGCTAAAGGAGTGCAGAGTGTTATCGGTATTTACGACAAGACTTGTGTAAAATCTCACGAAGTGAAAGATTTGGAGTGCATGGTGGCTTACAGTGCAGTAGAGTAGCTTGTCAAGTCACGGCTAGGCGTAGAAAGAATGCATGGAATAATTCATGGGGTGGGGGTTTGTTGACCCAAAAGGGGGCGTGGTGTCTACTGACGGAGTCCAGAAAGGAGACGTTTTGAAAACCTAGCCTCTACCAGGCTTCAGGAGCGGCTGGAAGAGTACAGACAGACTTGAACATGCCAGGGGAGTTGGTCTAGCCTCTACCAGGCTTCGGACACGGCTCGAAAGAGTAGTAAGTTGCCAGATAGGCAGATAACATGCCAGGAGAGGTGGTCCGTTAAAGTAGTATTTGTCGCCTCTTTCCAGCCACTTCCGAAGCATAGTAAAGGCATAGTTAGTCCGCTAAAGGAGTACAGTTTGCCGTTCGGTGCACATTTAGCTAGCGGACTAACTCCCCTGGCACGTTGCCGGTCTATTTTGCCAATTTCTACTCTTTCCAGTCCCTTTTGAAGCCTGTTAGAGGCTCCTGATCAGCCGGATCTGTTTAGACATACCACCAGGGGAAGTGTGTACGATTCCGGGCCACCTGTTTTCATGAGACGGAAAATTCTGTTGCTTACGCTTTTAAAAAAACTGTATTGACATCGCATTCTGATCGTATCTACGAAATTCATCATTGAGAAAGTTGTCTTACACCAATTACTCCTTGTTTTGCAAGGCAGATTGTCTTCGCATTCTTTCTTATTCAACCGGGTGCGTTTTGTGGGACTTGTTGATCTTTAAAATTTACGAGTAATCGTAGTACGGGAATAAGTAGTTAGAGTCTTCAGTCATGCGTTTAAACCGCTTTGAATATATGCAGGTATGTCAGTAGCCAAATCTGCCCGATCACAGGGTTCTGAGGGAGTGCCATTGCACGCCCGTCAGAGTATTAAGAGTCAAGCAAGATAATTTTCATTTGTCGAAACGTATACTTTAATGTCGGGTACTGATCACAAAAGACATAAATATAATACATGGATAACAGCCTGGGAGTCAGAAAAAATGTAGCCAACTAGTGGTTGAAACAAATATCGTTTTATAAGTCTATTTGAGTGACTAATGGTAGGTACATGCTTTTTGGTGATTATGGCTGAAAACGCCCTAAAATTATGCAGCTCAAATTACCAGCATCCTCTGAGTAGGTAGGTCGTCCCATAGGCACGGTACGTAAAGCTTAAGGGTGCGGCCAAAACGCTAATCTGCCAGATTAGAGATTTCTGAGAAAACAGGAAAAGACTCTGAAGTTGTTTGGTTATGGTAAAAACATCTGTGTTAATGCTGGTAAGATTACAAAAGACATGTGTGAATAACAACCCCAATGGGTCGGCAGTCAGAAAAAGGCAGTCAACTGGTTGAAATATCATTAGCAAACATCTGTTGAAGTTATAGAGTGAAGTCATAGAGTGAATATCACTGCTACAAACGCCCTAAACGTATGCAGGCCTGTTTGATAGCTCAAACTTTACCAGCAGCATCTGAGTGGTTGAATCTACTCTCCAAGCAGAGGTTGGTGGGGAAGACTGAGTGGATGTAAACTTTCTATCATATGCTAGTCTCTACCTGACTAACTACGCTGGCTATATATAGGAGAATATTTGCCGGAGGAGTTTGGCCGCCTTCGGTTTTGACTATGAGGGAACGAAACTACCTCCCCGCGGCCGAACTTCCTTGGCCAATTTTACTCTCTTTTTTGCCGAATTCTACGATCCGTATTCCCGTAGAAAGGCCTGGTGGAGGCTAATCATATGCCCTGTTTTCTGTCGCTACTCCCCACCGCTTTGGTTTTATGCACGGTATGTAAAGGTTCAGGGAGCAGCCAAATATGCCCGACCACAGAATTTGGAGACGCAGGGAGTGCCATTGTATCAAAAACAGTCTGGCTGTTGGCCGAAATTGCTGGTGTCTCCTTTGTCATAGAAGACTTAGTCTAAACAGTTAACACAAACAATAACATGTATGTATAGATGAACTAGATTTTAGGAGAAACACCCGAACCTTTTTTCTCTACTACCCTGCTTTTAGACATCTTTCAATAGTTATCTGACAGGCTAGTTAGCTCAAATTACTACCAACAGCCTCTGGGGGAGGTAAATCATATAACTTTTGAAAGCCATCTGGCTTTTCGTCTGTGCCTTTCCTTTGTGTTACCCTTCCAAACATATAAAATTACCGCAAAACAGCAAATACCTCAGGTATATATTTTATGAGAAAATGAAGGCTGTGACTTTTTCCCTCACTGCCCTGCTTTGTGACATCCTTCATTGGGTTAGCCGACAAATAAGGGGTCAGGCAGGAACCGTCAACAACTTCGCTTGTCATAACTATCGTGAGAAAGCACAGGTGCACAGGGCACATAGCCTCTACCAGGTTTCGTGAGGCGGCTGGAAAGAGTAAAGCTTGGCCAAATAGACAGACAGCATGCCAGGGGAGTTGGTCTGCTAAAGGAGTATAGTTTACCTTCTCATAACTATCGTGAGAAAACACAAGTGTACAGGACACATAGCCTCTACCAGGCTTCGGGACGCGGCTGGAAAGAGTAAAGCTTGGCCAAATAGACAGATAACATGCCAGGACAGTTGGTCCGCTGAAGAGTACAGTATCGGGTGCGGCAAACTGTACTCTCTAGTGGACCAACTCCCCTGGCATGTTATCTGTCTATTTGGCGAATTTCTACTCTTTCCAACCGCCTCCCGAAGCCTGCTAGAGGCTAGGTGTACAGAACAGTCGACCCATTTTTCTAGACTTAATCATATCAGTAGGCATGGCACGTACTCTGTCAGGTTGTATGTTTGACTAAGAGCCTGTCAC